GAGAGGGATGGATGCTTGGAGGGGGGCAGGGTTGGTGAGAACTGGGCTTCTTGCAGGGGAGTTCCTGTGTGGGAGTTGGTTTCCACGGAGTTCCTGGAAGATGCTCTCATTTCTCATCCTAAAGGCCCGGTCTACGGGCGATGAGGTGTTTTTCTCCAGGGCGTCAGACATTTGTGTTTTCTGAGATCCAGTCTGGGTTTCTGGCTCACTGGGGTTTGTGGTGGGGGTGGGCAGAGGTAGTTATGTCAGCGGACCCCACCTCACCAAGGCCTCTGACGCTGTAATAGCAGAACGGCAGCGCCTGCATTGCAGCCACACAAATCACCATGCCAGAGCCCCCCCGAGCGTGCTTTCGTTTCTCCCAGCGACAGTATTTGTGCTTCCGTGGAGGGGGTGGGGAAATGAAAACAGGGAATTGCCGCGCTGTGTAAAGAGCTGAGCTGGGCCACAGGCCACTGTCCTGGGCTGCCCATGACCTCTGTAGCTACCAATGACAGGATTTCTGCTGCTGCCCGTCACTCACCATGATACCTTCATGGTAATCAACTGCTCGGCACATTAGCACAATCTGTTCCGTTCTCATGGTGCGAACACAGCTCCAGTGATTTGCATGACGTTTCTTCGGGGCATCAGACAAGTCCCAGTGTGAAACTGTATTTCAGTAACGATGGTGTGTCTCGCCCTCGCTGCTCCAGTTCTGTTGTGATAAATGGTTCCGCAGCACCTCACCTGCTCAGGTCCTTTTGAAAATCCTGCCCTTAGACTCCCAAACAGGTCTGCTGGCAGGGGCGGGCAAAGGAGGCAGCTGTCAAAGCCCCGGGCCCCTTTAAATCACCACCGGAGCCCTGCATGGCATTTCGGGCGATGCTGATGACTGGCTGCCTCTGGACCTGCCCTTTCTGTCTGAGGCCCCGCCCCTTACGGGAGTGCAGAGTCGGGTTCTCCCCTCTCCCCCCATTGCCCAGGGACCCAGCAAATCTGTCAGCTCCTCTGCTCCCAAATCACTTCTGAAAATGGGATTTGGGCTGCTAAGTCACTTACTTTGGCAAATTTTACCCCATAACATGAAAACAGAAAACTCTTAGGTGTTCAGAGGTCACCATGTCATGTGGCCTTTCGGTTGGCACATACTCTGATTTAGTCAAGAGGGAGAATCACCCCAAATAATAAGCACATCCTGGGAATCAATGGATTTCCATGTAGATTTCAGTGCCTGGGTCTGTCTTCGTATCAGAAAAAAAAATCGGTGGAATTTAAATACATGTTCTCTGACTGATACTGTCGACAAAGCTTCTGTCGACAAAGAGCGTCTAGACTACAGCCAGTTCTGTCGACAAAGCAAGCCTCTTTTTCGATAGAGTCTAGACACTCTCTTTTGAAAAAGCACAGTGTGGATGCAATAGCACCTTTTGTTGACAGAACTCTGTCGACAAAAGGCGTTATTCCTCATAGAATGAGGTTTACCGCTGTCGACAAAACTGCCGTGTTCTGTCGACTTACTGTCAACAGGACTCGGCGGTAGTGTATACGCAGGTATAGTTTTGTCAAGGTGGAGAGGGAGAGAAGAGGGGCTCTAATATTAGCTTGCGAAATCGATTTTTAGCCTACCTGTAACATGAGGCCTGGGGAAGTCCAGCTATTGGAAAGCAATGCTGGGTACTACTGTAGCACACTGAAGGGACTGGGTGTTTTGGCTTGCTTGGCGAATTGTAAGGAAAGGCTGTTCCTTTTTCTTGTAATTAATACGAAAATGAACTTTAAACAATGCGTGTCATGACAGACAGACAGGGCGGGGAGAGGAAAGACGAGCTAGTGAAGGAAGAGGGTGCGCTGCACGGGGCAAGAGTTAGCATCAGTCCCACTAACAGGAAACAGCTTTTTTCCCCCCACCGTGTTTGCTCCTCCCTGGAGAAGGTGCAAAAGAGGCTGGAGCTCCCCCACGGAGAAAGGAGAGAGAACCCGAGCTCTTGGCTGTGACAAGTAGCTCCAGTCCGGGGGGGCAGGGCTGGCACTCAGACACTGCAGTGTTCTTACGGAGGGACTGTCAGAGAAAAGGTGTCAGGCAGAGAGGAGGAGAAGGGATTCCTCATGCAGATGCCCCTCTCCCCCCACCCCCGGTCCAAGCAACTAGACTACCCTCATGCATACATCAGGGCTGCGTAGCCTGAAAGCTGAAAACGGTCACTCTTCTCCCCTCCTGCAATGGGAGGAGGGGGGGGGCAGAGGAGAGGCATGATTAGCACTAGACAGGCAGGGCAGAGTGTGGGAGGACTGGCTGGCCACAAGGCACAGACCCGAACCTCCAAAGCTCTGGGAACCATCCGTTCATGTTCCTAAAGTGCTTTGACATCTAAAGTGCTTGGATGATTGTTGTTTTTCTTTTCGGTGCTTGTGTGGCTAAAGGCACGGAGTAACAGGGCTGCCCAGAGGATTCAGGGGGTCTGGGGCAAAGCAATTTTGGGAGCCCCTTCCTGGCACTCCCTGTCTCAGACCTCAGACTTCAGACATTCTTGTGGGGGGGTCTGGGGAAAATTGCCCCACTTGCCTCCTCCCCCCCCAAGCGGCCCTGCGGAGTAATCAGTACAGGCCTGCATCCAAAAGGCATTTCACCAGCTACATTTCATTCCTTTTCTTCCTCCTCCTCCTCCTCCTTGTTTCCTTTCCTCTTTTTTAGGCCTTTGGGGTCCTTTCTGTTCTCCTCTCACACACCTTCTCATCGCCACATTTTAGTCCAGTCTCCCCAATCTGTTTTATCTGGTTAGGGAAAGGCAATTTGACTAGTACAGGCCTGCATCCAAAAGGCATTTCACCAGCTACATTTCATTCCTTTTCTTCCTCCTCCTCCTCCTCCTTGTTTCCTTTCCTCTTTTTTAGGCCTTTGGGGTCCTTTCTGTTCTCCTCTCACACACCTTCTCATCGCCACATTTTAGTCCAGTCTCCCCAATCTGTTTTATCTGGTTAGGGAAAGGCAATTTGACTGTGCTGTATCAAGACGGAAAAAATGAAGATCATGACATATAAGCCATCAGAGCATCTATTCTACACCAATCAGGGTACGTCTACACAGCAAAGCTAAAGTCAAACTGAGCTCCGCAACTGGAGCTACATCAATGGCATAGCTTAAGTCGAAAGAGCTTCCTTCGGCTTTTGGCGCTGTCTACACAACAGGAAGTCGAAGGAAGAACACTCTTCCTTCAGCTTCCCTTACTCCTCGTGAAATGGAGGTGACAGGAGTCAGAGTCAGAAGTCCTTCAGCTCGACATTATTTTGGAATAACAGCTTGTCGGGCAGACACACTCTTTGTTATTTTGGAATAACGGCAGTTATTCCGAAATGCTGCTGCTGCGTAGACGTACGCTGCCTGGTGCTAACTCATCCTTGTGGGTACATTTGAATACCTGCTTCTAAAAACTCCATTCTATGAAGCTGCTGGCTAATTCCAGTGGCCCTGCATATGGCTGGCTGTTCCTCATGCCTTCTGCAGGCTTACGGGAATGCTTTGCTTTGCTGCTGCAGTGTTCTTGCTTTCTGGTTCTGAAGAAACCAGTGTGTTGTGTGCAGGTATGCACATCCCTGTTTGGGAAGATAAGTCCACCTTGGGCGCCTCCAAATTCCACAGTGTATCATACTGATGCATGGCTCAGCCGCTAGGGGATAGAAATTAGATCAACTGATTAGCTTGGAATCTTTCCACATCCAAGGCTGTTCAGTTACTTCTTCAGTTTACTGTTCTACTTCTACTTGCCTCTTCTCTGTGTGTGTGTGAAGCTTCAATTCTGCCTTTCTCAGCCTGTGTGTTCCTCCTCCTATGCTCAAAGTTTTCAGGAAATAAATAAAACCCCACATAATCTTTGCAGCTCACTAAGCCACGTATTCCTTGCCTTTTCTTGGAAATCACTCCTTCCCCTGTTCTATGTGAGTGAGTGGGGGAGGAGAGGGAGAGGGAAGGAGAAAGAACATTAAGCAACATTAAATCAAAGATAATTATCAGCTGTCAGTCAGGGAATGGCAGAGAGCCAGGGAAGCACTCAGCGGGGACTCTGTCCGTCCATCCTTGCCTCCCTTCGTGGTTTGCAAAAAGTGCAATATTTGTCTTTAAACAACATAATTCATCATCAGAGGAATTAAAGACTATTTAGAATTGTAATAGACCACTCCATTCTGAGAATGAAAATGTCTTTTCATAGAACAGTACCTCTGGCAATACACCATTCTTTCTTCCAGCTTGCCAGTACTTGACCTTAGCCTCCAATATTGTGATACTTTTTATCTTCTCTTGTTTTCAAAGGAAACTATTCTGATCCTTTTGAAAGAATTGCCAGCACTGGTGTTATTCATGAAGTCCATGCTATGCAATTACCTGTTATTTACGGTGGATAATAATATTTAGCCAGGGCTGGCCCACAACATTTTGGCACCTGAGGTGGGGAGCTCAAATGATGCCCCTGTAACCCCTCGCTTGGGCCAAACTTTGAAAGGTCTCTTGTGCCCTCCTTCCTCCAGCACAGCACTCCACCATCTCTGTGCATCTAGAGCAGAGAGAATACATCTGCACCAGCAGCAGACACAATTTTCTACACTCTGGGTCCTAGTGGTGCCCACTCACAGTCTGGCACCTAAGGTGACCGCCTCAGTTCACCTCATGGTAAGGCCGGCCCTGTATTTAGCTTTGCACAAGTGTCGGACACAGAAACAGCTAACGGGTCCAGATTCTGTTTTCACCTTTGTATTTCAGAGGGGCCTCCGAGAAGGTCCCATAGACTGGGCATCTCTCCTGCAGGAGTGGAGGAAAAGCCATAGGAATGCTCATATATATATAGTAGCCCAATGTCTGTGTCTCCGTAACACTGAAACACTGGCTGTTCCCTCTGGGCGGCGCTGTTGCCTCCCACCGTGGTGCTCAGTTGACTTCTGCACCACTCAGCCGTTTGGGGTCCGCGCTCCCTATGTGGCAAGGGGGGCAGGGCACTGATGTACACGGCCAGGGGGCTGGTCCTGGAGCCTCTGTCATGTCCTTACTGTGCTGACGTCTGGTCCAACCAGCCTGGGAGAGTTCGCAACCTGGAGCGGGCCCCAGGAGGGAGGCGCGGGCTGGAGGAGCACGAGCAGCTGCACAGCCAGCTGGAGAGAAGCGGCGCTTTTAAGGGGAAAGGGCCGCTTCTCTCTAGCTGCCTGCTCCATGGCTGCCTCCTGCTCAGTCCTCCAGTCGGCACCTGTGAGTGGGGGCTGGGGGCTGAGCCTGGCCGGGGAGCTCTGTTTGGGCTCTGTGCTCCCCATGCAGGAGGAGGAGGAGAAGAGAAAGAGAGAGTGAGAGGCAAGAGGAGGAGGAGAAGAGAGAGTGAGAGGCAAGAGGGGGAGAAGAGAAAGAGAGACGGAGATGCAGGAGAGGGAGGAGAGCTGAGTGGGGAGGGGAGGCAGTAGGAGGAGAGGAGGGAGAGAGAGCGAGAGATGGAGCAAGAGACCAGAGGCTCAGAAGAGAAGACCGAGATAGAAAGGGAATAGGATGTGGAGAAGAGACCTGAAAATCCCGTTTTATGACGGGCTAATTGGCTAGTATATATATAAGCAGCAACAAAATAATTTAAATTCTGAAATCATCTGGGATTTTATGGTTTCCCAAAAACTCTCATAACATGTTCCAGGTACCGCATCTCGCTGGCTTTGGGCCAATGCTTTCCATTAATTTATGGGACCTGAAACAGCATGGCTGACATAGCTTGCTGTGATGTGTCTGTCATTTGTGTTTCAGATGGTGGGTCATGAAGAGGTCTCCCTAAAATTTAGGAGGCACACAGACACTGGTGCCTTCTGTCATCCAGTTCCGTGCTTTCCTGGGCTGCAGGGCTTTTCCGCTGCTAAGTCTCTGAAAACGTAAGTTTCAGATCATGTATCGCACAACAGAACCAGAGCAATGTCAGAGAGCACATTTCCGTCAAGCCATCCTGCCTGCTTCTGTGGCTCTGGGGTTGGAAGAGGATGGTTTAGACTTCCCTGGCCTTTACAAATATGTGGGAGTTGGGGTATTCTGGGTTGGAGGCTGCTTGTACCTGCCATACTAACAGGCAATGAGGACGAGGACATGCCTGTTCATTCTCAGAGGACACCTTTTGGATTCTGCCTCCAAGAACAGGCTTGGGAATGGGCAGGCAGAGGGTGTGCATGGGACGAGGGTTCACAAAGAGCACAAGCCACCTGAAATCCTGCTGGAGACAATACCCCAGGGGACAATACCTCTTGTGGACCTGTAGCCTCCTTCCTCCTGCCCCTCTGACTCAAACATCCCGGTGACTGGGATTGAGCCTGTGGCTATACAGTGACCTCTATAATGATGCATTTGTATTCATAAGAGCCTGCTGAGGTCTGCATGCAGATGCTTGTAAATGGGTTGGACCTCTGTGAAGTTGCCGCTGAGTGACACGCACAGATAATAATGACTCGGAACTTTAGAGTCTGATCCCTTGTTCCTTGCTGCAAAAACAAGAGGATCCATATTTTGCCTCCGATGTGGTAGGACCCCAGAAAATAGCTGACACTCCCTGGGAAACTCAGAGCCCCTGATCCTGCCCCTGCCCCTGTTTCCTCTCTCTCTCTCTCTCTCTCTCTCAGCGTTCGTCACTGTGGAGATTTGCCTGCAAACAACCTGAATCTATCTTCACGCTAATCACTTGCTCCCGCTGCTGCCACCCTGTCTGAAGCCAGAATGCTGTGTGTGATGTCACAGTCACCTCTGTAGCAGCTAATTGTGATGCCACAAATAGATTGCGACTTCGGCTGTGGGCTAAGCAGCGGGGGACGTGAACCCTGGAGGAACGAAAGGTCTGGTTTTCATGCCATTGCACAGTGTTTTTTAAAGGAGGAGAAATACAGACAATCTCTCGGAAGGAAGCTCTGCCAGCCAAAACTGCACAGGGTCACCAGCTCTTTGCAGTTGCTGTTTATTTTTATATTGACTAACTGTGTATGTGTCGAGCTATCCCATCCTGGACAGGCCTAGAGTAGGGCCAATGGGAGGTGGCACCTGGCTGCAAGCCAAGGTCTTTCTCTGTGCACTTTGATCATAGTGACCGATCAAGCGTGTGAGTTTTGCTTTCATACACGTTCCTCCAGTTCACCTACTTACACTCTGCCTCTTATTAATAGAATTGTTAGCAGGTTCACTCCACAGCTTGTGGGGAAGGTGTGCACATGGGTGGTGCTGAAGAGAGAAAATATCTGATTACCTCTATCACCTCTTCTTCCCAGGTGAGCTTTTCTACCAAACGATAACGCAGGCAACTTCACCAAGGGCGGGACAGCACCATGTGTGGACACGCTGGAGAAAGTCTGCAGAGGGCAACCAAAATGATTAGGGAGCAGGAGCACGTGACATATGAGGAGAGGCTGAGGGATTCGCGCTTGTTTAGTCTGCAGCAGAGAAGAGTGTGGGGGGGAGGGATTTGATAACAGCTTTCAGCTACCTGAAGGGGGGTTCCAAAGAGGATGGAGAGAGGCTGTTCTCAGTGGTAGCAGATGACAGAACAAGGCACAACGAGGCAGTGGGGGGAGGTCTAGGCTGGATATTAGGAAAAGCTGTTTCCCTCAGAGGCTGGTGAAGGACTAGAATAAGTTATCCAGGGAGGAGGTGGAATCTCCATCCTTAGAGGTTTTTAAGTCCCAGCTTGACAAAGCTCTGGCTGGGATGATTTAATTGGGGTTGGTCCTGCTTTTCCCAAGGGGTTGGACTCGATGACTCCTGAGGTCTCCTCCAACCCTAGGATTCTATGCGACTTTGCTGCGGGCTTGGGCCAGGGCCTGGGCTATGTTCCAGTACAGAGGGTTAGGACTGTGTCAAGTTTTGCTACAGCAAGGAACCAAGAAGGCAGCCCTGTTCCTGAAGAAAAAGCAGGACTATGTAGCACTTTAAAGACTAACAAGATGGTTTATTAGGTGATGAGCTTTCGTGGGCCAGACCCACTTCCTCAGAAATATAATTGATGCCATCATGTGCCGAAAGTGTCCGTCTGCTATGTACATTGGACAAACGTCTCAGACACTTCGCCAAAGGATCAATGCCCACAAAACAGATATCAGACAGGATCACAAAGAAAAAACAGTTCCTTGCCATTTCAACCAGAAAAGACATTGTCTCAACGACTTGATTACCTGCATCCTGCCTCAAAGGCCTTTTAAGAATACACTTGAAAGAGAATCCTCTGAACTGTCATTCATGCGAAAATTTGACACTTTACACTTAAATTTGAATAAAGACGCTAATTATCTTACCCATTTCAAAGATAGCTTCCCCAATTATCACCTCTAATATCATTAGCTCACAGACATTTACCTCCCCCCACATACCTCTTCTGTTCTGAAATTTGATTTGTCCTTTTCATATGTGTTCATTTTCTTTAATTGTATCCTTTGGTATATATGGTTGTGCCAATTTTCTTCCACTATTTGATCTGAGGAAGTGGGTCTGGCCCACGAAAGCTCATCATCTAATAAACCATCTTGTTAGTCTTTAAAGTGCTACATAGTCCCTGTTTCCTACACCAGACTAACACGGCTACATTTCTATCACAGTTCCTGAAGAGGCAGCATGAGCTAGGAATAGGACTCGGAAATTGGACTCTGTTCCTAGCTCTGCCCTGAGCTCAAAAGAGAAGAAACATGGTCTGCCATGAAGCTGTGCATTTTAAGATTTGGACACTCTGCATTGAACAGAAGCAGCGTGCTCCTTCTATAGCCATGCCCTCCTTCTGAGGGGAGAGGGTGTGAGCATGAGCTAAAGGCGAGACTGAGAAGTGGGGTCCACAACAGAGTCTGAGGAAATTGGGGAAGAACAGACAGCAAGGGGAGGAGGGACAGAGTCCTATAGCAGTTGGGCCTCCTTCCCACCCCAGGGTATGTCTAGACTACATGGCTCCATCGATAGAGCCATGTAAACTAGTTTACCCGACATAGTCAATGAAGTGGGGATTATAAAATAAAAATGGCCGCTGCGCTGTGCCGACAATCAGCTGATCCAGTACAATGCAGCGGTCTAGACGCAGATCAGTCGACAAAGGAAGCCTTTGTCGAGTGCTCCCTTAAGCCTTGTGAAATGCTTCATTGACTATGTCGGGTAAACTAGTTTACATGGCTCCGTCGAGCCATGTAGTATAGACATACCCCCAGTGTCGTGCATCTTGGGGCAGGTCTACACTAGAAGTGCTACATCAGTGCAGCAAAAAAAACAAACCCTTTTTGCGCAAGATCGGTATGTTTCCTTTTTTGAGGCATAACGATCTTGCGCAAAAAGGGGGATTGTGCAAAAAGGAAACGTCCACACAGCTTGTTTTTGCACAAAAACCCCTAGCGCAAAAACGGATTGGCAGAAAATATGCAAATGAGATCGTGACTCATGCAAATGAGTCCCTCATTAGCATATTTTCTGCAGCAAAAACTGGCAGTGAAGACGTAGCCTGAGGCATTGGCCTTTGTGTGCCTCACAGCCACGTGTCACCAGCTATTGGAGGTGCCCCAGCCAGACACCATGTGTCGGGCTGGGGACAGGGTGGGTAGCATAGGAGTCAGTACGGCAGCTCTGTAAATGTTTTGTACAGTACTGACTAGAGTCCATGGAAGCACCGGGGCTTGAGAAGATATTGCACAATGAAGTGCTGCATGAGGAGAGATGGACACATGAGCCGATCACGCATCTGTCATTTTAATCCTGGGGGGCCGCTCAGAACCCAGATGCAGATGGAGAAACTCCTCAGACCTTCACGTATGAGTTCCCCGGGAGATGCTCTAGATGAGTGTTTCTCAAACTGTGCTCCGCAGAGACCCAGAGGCTCCGCAAGACATCTCCAGGGGCTCCGTGAGGTTGACAAACTGGAAACATCAATAGGTACAACACATACAATCAGTGGACCGCTGGGGCTCCGCATAAATGTTTACGCATGTAAAGGGCTCCAGAGCCCAAAAAGTTTGAGAACCACAGCTCTAGATGGAGTCATGGCCTCTGGCTAGCACGTCCAGAAAGTACTGGCCACTGGGTTCTGTGAGCCAGGGCATTTGGGAGCCAGACAGCTGGGATGATAGGCATCCAGGTCCCGAATAGCCATGTGCCGTAAAAGGCAGGCGCTTGTCCAGACTCTCGCAAATATGAATGCCTGATTTATGGGACCCTACTCCCCTTTCTGTTTACGCCACCCTGACACATTTATCATTGATTTAGGAATTATTGTTCCCAAACTGGGCTCAGATGCCTCGTTTGCCTTGTGAGTTACGAGGCAGGAAAAATGGTGGTGTGACGACGCCTCTCTGACTGATGGCTTCACCATCTTTAATCGGATTAATTTATTGGCATTTCCAGGGGACACCTCCCCGTCGCCTCTGAACACCTAGAAGTCCCAAGTCTCCGGAGTTCTCCATTTCAGTTTCTCACCCTGTATCTACCTCCTCACTCCCAGGAGTGTTTAGAGCAGCCGTGCTAACTTTAATAACTGTAATATTGCACATTCTTAATACACCCAATTGATCCAAATTGAATTAATTTCTTGTTGGGTGTTTTTGTTTGTTTTGCGTACTCTCTTCTGACCCTGAAGTGTCTCTCTGGTGTGGAGGGGGGGAAGCAGCCTCTTTCCTCTGTGGCAGAAATGGACAACCATGTGTGTTTGTTCCCTTCACACCTCTTGCTCCAGGGAGGCCCACACTGCAGTGGGTTTTCACAGGGCTGGTTTTCCATTCCCGACTGGTTTTGAAACGATGGTTTGACTCCTTTTTCAGTGGTAATGACAGTGGGGCCCGCATTGGCCACTGTCCATTTCAGCTCTGAATTCCTGTTCTCTCCGCCACGTGGGAACTCAAGAGGGGACTTCAGGCAGGGAAAAGGGGGTTTCTGGCTTAGCATTTGCTGTTTGTCCAGATTGTCTTCGTTTGCTGCATCCTCCAGTATTCTTGGCAGCACAGACCGGAAACCCAGGCCCCCCAGCTGTCAGGAAAGACAGAGGCATAGGGGCCTGAGACTCAGAGGTGCCAAGCGCCTACGAGTCCAGAAACACTTTTGGAATGGAGAGCCCGTACCTGAGGCATCTTGGTTTACGGTTACTATGGGCTCCATCAGGACTGTTCGCGGGTGAACATTTACTAGTGGCTTGTTGAATCTGGTTTCAAATGCATGAACACTGGTGAGTCCAGCCCTTTCCTTGGGAAATGATTCCAGCTCTTGACACATCTCCCTGCCAGGGAGATTTTCTTGCTAGTGGGACTAACTTGGCCATTTCTTCACTTCATGTCTCTGTTTTAATTCACTAAGGGTGTGTCTAGACTACATGCTTTCGTCGACGGAGGCATGTAGATTAGACAGACCGGCATAGGGAAATGAAGCGGCGATTTAAATAATGGCCGCTTCATTTAAATTTAAATGGCTGCCCCGCTCTGCCGATCAGCTGTTTGTCAGCAGATCGGGGCAGTCTGGACGCGCCGCGGTCGACAAGGGAACCCTTTGTCGACCGCTCCGGTAAGCCTCATTTCACGAGGCATAACGGAGCAGTCGACAAAGGCCTCCCTTGTCGACCACGGCGCGTCCAGACAGCACAGCGCAGCTGATCAGCACAGTGCAGCGGTCATTTTGATGTAAATGAAGCAGCAATTATTTAAATCACCGCTTCATTTTCCTATGTCTAGTAAACTCATCTACATGGCTCCATTAATGGAGCCATGTAGGCTAGACATACCCTAAGAGAGCAGAGAGACTAACTAGGTATTAAATATTGGGGAAAATGATTTCACTGGGAGGGTGGGGAAGCACTGGAATGGGTTTCCTAGGGAGGGGGTGGAATCTCCATCCCTAGAGGTTTTTAAGTCCCGGCTTGACAAAGCCCTGGCTGGGATGATTTAGTTGGGATTGGTCCTGCTTTTCATCAGGGGGCTGGACTTGATGACTCCTGAGGTCTCTTCCAACCTTAGGATTCTATTACCTCATTCTTCAGCTTCCAGGAAGCTTCGCACCCTTCAGATATTTGCAGGCTGTCTTTTGTCATCCCATAGCCAAGAATGCATCTTTCCTTCTAGTCCCTGACCATTTCCTCTTGCTCTGCTCAGGACTCTCCACTTCCTGGGTACTCGGTGCCCGGCAGTTATTCCAGGTGCAGCTACCTACACGCAAGCTGTAGCGAGTAGCTGTCACTATCATGCCTTTTCTACTGTAGGTCTGCCACACCACATGGCACTAAGGATGTTAAGGAGCAGCTATATGGCTAATTGTGGAGTCGATCCAATTTGGATCGACTCAACGATTAGTCAGTAAGGGGAGGCTCTCTGCCCAGCCACAGCGAGTGTGGCTCCCGGAGCCCATGTGAGGCAGATCTAGGCAGTCTGGACTCACACTGGTTCCGGGATTGCTGCGCCTCTGCATTCTAACTTTAAAATTCAGGGCTGCAGCACAGGTGGCTCCCAGAGCTTTTAAGCCGACTCCCCCCAGCACAGGCTCCTCTTCTCCCCCTCCCCACTGCCTCTCATACAGAGGCAGCAAAGGGAGGGGCGGAAGTGAGTAGTTGAGTACTCAACTATTCGTTTACATCCCTAAATGGCACTGGCCAAACCAGTGATGCTGTTGGATGGCAGAACCCCAAATAAACTTCCAGGAGCAATAAGAAAACGGAGCATAAAGCATCAAGGCACCAATGGCTCCTTTCCAAACCTTACGGAAACAACTGCTAGTATTTACAGGACCAGTTGGGGAGACTGGGGCTGAGTCAGGCCTGGTCTACAGTAGGAGTATTTAGTCACATAAGGTCAATTTTCTAAACGATGTGTCCACACTACCAAGCTTGTTCTGTCAACTTGAAGGGCCTCTGAAGTTGATTTCAGGTACTCCAGCTTTTACAAGGAGTGACACAATTTCCTACCTTGCCTGGTCGAATTTACAGGAGTGTAGACACAGAGTTAGTGAAAGTCGAGGTCCTTGGCCTCCAGGAGGCATCCCACAATGCCCCACTCTGACCACTCTGGTCAGAACCTGCACTTCTACTGTTCTCCAGGTGAACAGGAAAAGTCCTGGGAAAGTTTGAAATTAATTTCCTGTGTGGTCAGTGTTGAGAGCATACCACAGAGCAGGCAGCACACCTCAACATCACACGTGGCCATGACTTCCAATACTTCAAGTACCATGAGCTTCAGTTCCCAAGGGTGCAAAAGAGCACCAGCATGGAGTGTGCAGGAGATCTTGGACCTTCTCAAGGCGTAGGGAGAGGAATCCATTCTCCCCAAGCTCCGACCCAGCAAAAGAAATGCCAATATTTATATGAACATTACAAAGACAATGAAGGAGAAAGGATCCTCCAGGGACACCCAGCAGTGCAGAGTTCAAGTAAAGAAGCTGAGGCAGTCCTACCACAGAGCAAAGGAGGCAAACGAACAGTCTGGTGCATCGCTGCAATCATGTTGTTTCTACGACCAGCTGCCCAAACAGCTTCCTAACCATGACCATGGACACCAGCCACAGCACTCCTGGCAGCAGCGTGGAGAACAGTGTTGTGGTGAAGGGGGAAGGTGAGGAACTCCCTAATGGGGGTCAGGGGTGGATATAGGGCAGGGCGAATGGGGCAGCTGCCCCGGGCCCCACGCTTCAAAAAGCCCCGCGCATGCGCCGTGACGCCACCACGCATGTGCATGGCATCACGGCGCATGCGCCGTGGCAAAGGGGGGGGGCCGCGGAATTATGCTGCCTGGGGCCCCGCAAAACGGTCATCTGCCCCTGATGGGGGTGCACTACTTCAAAGTACGTCGAATTGGGGACATGGACCTTCGACTTTGCGAAATCAGGTGAACAGAAATCAACCATCATAGATTCAACCTCATCACATAGTGTAGACAAGGCCTCAGTCAACGGTAGGAGACGTTTATTTATAATTAGTGCCAGGGGACATAGATAGCTTTGCCTTTTGAGTGTTTGTACTCTCTTGTGTGTCTCTGCTGGGGAACCCAACAAAAAAAATCTGGGTGCTGATGTTAGGGGATTGTGAGATTTAAATCTCACTCTCTCGGTCCACCTCTCTGGCTATACACTTCGGAGCTAATCCTTGTTAAGGATCTGTAACTTCATTACAGCTGAGTGAAAATTGCCGACAAGTCACTTTTTTGTTGTTGCTAAATTTCACTTCCTTTTTATGTTCAACCAAATATTTCCAAGTAAATAGCAAAAATTCATTGTTCAGAATTATTCACAAAGTTTTCCACTCTGTGTTTTCCCTTCTACCTGAACAACTTTTGAATAGTTTGTGGTGACATTTAAACTTTGAAATTCACCTTATAGTGGTTCGTTACCTAAATCTTGTGGATTGTTTCTGTCTCCTGTTTGCATGATATATGCAACTCAGCAGCACGGCGTGAAATGCAAATTCTAAACATCAGTCAGGTATACAAATCAGAACTCGATGACGAGTTTTATTTTGAGTGAATTCACATATTCATGCATTCCCATTTAAAATTTGTTAGAAGCCATACTTGCAAAGCTTGACAGTCAGATGTTTACAGAAAGCAAAGGAGAGAATTGCAGATGCATTCCCATTGAAATTTACTTTCAGTAGTGGCTAAATGTTTTTCCACTATTCGCTCAGCTCTAACAGTCACTGGGAATAAAGACTCTTAAGAACAGGAAAAGTGGTAGCACGTTCATCTGGATTTCATTAAGGGACAGAGGAGGAGAAGTTTAGGAGAGCAGAAATTGAAAGAAATAGATGTTCATTCCTCATCATTAACATGTTGCAATAAGTGATAACTTGTTGGAGCCAAAATGATTGAAATTCCAATTCACAATATCGGTTTCGACATAGAGAACAATCTCCCATCACCTTAACATCATCTGTCAAACGAAGCCAGCTCTGAATAACACCGCTTGCAATTCTCAGCTCTTAGTCACTTTGCAATCCCACGAACCCTTACTTGTAACACAGGTGACATTAGTATTTACCCCACAGTTCCCATGCTCAATCTACCTGCTGCTTGTTTCAATCCAGCTTTCACACCCTGCTACGTCAGGAAGCCACATTAGTGCTTGTAGCTGTCTGACTTCTGTGTAGGAGCCAAGCAGTGCTGGAGTTCTGGGTTCATCTATGCTAGGAGCTGCGGCTGTGATTCCCAGCTCCAGAAGACACACAAGCTCTCACCAAGCTAGCAGGCTAAAAGGAGAAAGTAGCAGTAGCAGGATAAGTAGCTAGCCACCCTGCCAACACATCTGGGGTCTCAGGCAGCCCGGCTAGTCCCTCCTGCTGCATTGCACTATGGCAGCTTCATTCTAATTGTCATGGGGTTACCTCAAGCTACGTCTCCACTTACCAGAAGTTCGAGGCTCTGGAGATCGATTTTCCAGGGTTCGATTGAGCGGGTCTAATAAACACCTTCTAAATCAAACCCCGAGGGTGCCCCCTTTGGTGCTGTTGTGAGGAGTAAGGGAAGTCGACGGGAGCGTTTCTCATTGATCTCCCATTGTGGAGAAAGCGCCAAGCTCAGCTTAAAGTACATCGA